ACACGCAAAAGTATTTGCCAGTGCACCACTCTCTTTACAATGTTAGCTGTGGCTGCCTTCTTGCGTCCTCTTCCGGTCTTCTTCCTCTTGTGTCTGGTACGCCCGGTTCCGACCTCTTCTTCCTCGTACGCCCGGTTCCTTGTCCTCTTCTTCCTCCTCGCCTACGCTCGCTGCTGATTCTACTTTACTCAACTTCAGCTTTTACTGCCTTTCTAACAACGGGTAACTTTTACTTCCCGTGTCGTTAATCGAAGAAATACTTTTCCTGAATCTACACTATTTCGCGGACGACTGACTAGCATGTCTGTTCGACGTCGAATACTCCTATCTAATAGTCGTTGCTGCGGCGAACAATATCTAAGGCGAATGACAAGAAAGTGTTGGCTCGGCGAGCGGTGATCAAAGATCTGCTGGCTCGGCGATCGGGAACGAAAAAAGACCTCTCGCTTGCTGTTCCACGTATATATGTACCCGCCCTCCGTTGTGAGGGGTGGCGCGACGTCTATTCCTCCTCCGGCTGAGTTCACGTATTTCGTGCGCTATCTAGCGTTCACAACAGGCAATCGCCTCATCGGCGGCGGGCGCGCTCTATTTCAACCGCGCTGCGCTCGCGCACCTGTTCTGCCATAGTTGTCATATGATGTATGGGCGTGTGTGACGAACCTACACCCCGCATTCGTCAATATATATATATATATATATATATATATATATATATATATATATATATATATATATATATAATGATAGAACAGTGCTTCTTTAAATCAACTTTCTGAACGAGATGCACATTGAAAACCTTATCAAACATCAAAGGGAGCGAATATCATTGTAAATAAATAACTTCACAATAAGCACAAACCTTGGCAACCGCGTAAAACAGCTAAAAACTTACGAAATCTCTAGGGAAGGCTTACACGCTCACAGGAGCTTGCCGCCCAATTTTCCCACCAAATGTTGTGACGTTATTATGGATATCTCTATGCCTCACGATGCAAGGGACATCCTACATTTTCCCTATACTTCGTTTTTTACACAAAAAATGGAGAGTAAAGCTGACTCCAATACGGAGCTGCAACGTCATTACAACTCCCACCGTGGCTCACGAACTCCCACTTTTACGTCTCCCTATTGGAGTTTGCCTTAACTCCTCACCCATCAAGCCTACATGAAATAGGATTCCCAGCTTTAACTACGTAAAAAAAGATGCACAAAGACAAAACAACTTAAAAGCAGACCATCGCACGCAAACATCTTAATATACAATGTAGAAGGAATTAAAAACGCACTACCACACTGCCCGACTGATCCACTTATCGATAATGACCTGGCAATCCTTACTGAAACTTTCCTGACAGAACAATGAAATCAAGATTTTTTTATGAAAAACATCTATTAGCCAGAAAACAAGACCACGGCAGACCATCAGGGGGAATATCAATTCTAATCACACCCTGGTTATCACCGATAGTAACATCCAAAACTACAGAAAATGCACTGATAATGGAAATCAAGATACAGTACCTCTCGCAAAAAAGCCATCATGGCGGACGTACCCCGGAGGCTTCCCCCACCTGAGATCTCCCCACACGGGGATTAGGAAGCGCAGGAACGACGAGAAGCGACTGCGATGCGTAGCGATCGCACTGGCCGCCTCTCCTCATCACTGCCCTCATCGTCCGTCAGAAGAGGAATTCGCACTCCCAGGAGTGTCCAAAGAAATAAATACATCAAAGTGTTGGTCCACTACATTATCTGATTACTAAAACAGTTCTTCAAGACACGGGCTTGCTTTCTGTTGATCGTTTGGACAACCGCCACTGAAGAAACACGTAAGCTGCCTTTGAACGGACACTTCTCACTCATCAGTTTGTTAACGCCAAATTATTGACATTGTTCACCAGTGGAATCATGGGGCAAATAGCGATTCCACCCTGGAAAGCCGACGCTGCGACTATCAGAAAACATCTTGCAATGAAAGTCACTTTAAAGTTGAAAAATTTGGAACGTACCAACAGAGAGATGTCCCGGAAAAATTGACATAAATGCTCTGAAAGAAATAATTAAAAAACTTGACAAAGTAGAAGAATATTTACATCTCGAAAACATCAATGAAAAACTGGAAAGCATTGAACAACTCGTTACAAATAAACCAATGAACAGAACAGCGAAGAAATGGTTCGACAAACAATGCTTCCAAAAAACGGAAAGGGCGCTAACTGCGCTATGGAAGGTAAAGAACCAGCAATTTGCGACAAAACCTCGAAATGTATTCATCGACAAGGAAAGAACACAACGCATGTGTGAAAAAAACTCAGTACATAAAAAAGGAGAAAAAATGGCAGAAGAAGCACAAGATCCCTTCAAGACACTACAACCTAGTTATAGAACAAAAAATACGTACATCCCCTTGAATATTGTGCTCTCGTGGCTCAGTCGCTTGACTTTCACTACTGAGGTTCCGGGTTCGATTCCTGTAGATCCTTATGTGAATTTTTTTTTACGACTAAACGAGTTTGCCTGCTTCAAAGGGGCTAGTCCAACTCCCGTGATGCGTCCTCAACCTTACACCTATCTTTATTCCTTCCCAATTCTGGCCAATAGGTAGATAACGCATGGCGCATGCAAGACGCGAGCGCGAAGACGCTACCTATAGGCGATTCCCTGACATGAGTGCAACTGACGTGACTTGATTACCTGCCTGCGACTGATGGGACTTGACTAGAGGGTGCTGGGTGCATAATAAAGGAGGATTACTCCATGGTGTACTCAACGCTCCTAGAAGCTAGGAGACGCGTTGAGTCAATACACGCTACAATTTTTTTAAAAAAATATGGGAAGACCACACTAGAAGCGTCACATATCAAACAAGGCAGCGGAAGCAGATATAGAATCCTAGGCAAATTTCTCCGCGAAAGAGGTATACGAAGAAATAAGGAAATGAAAGCCAAAGAAGGCAGTAGCGCCGGACAACATCTCAAATGAACAATTAAAAGAATCATGCAAAATTTTGGCTGAAATCTGTACAAACCTTTTTAACAAATGCGCGCAAACAGGCGGCGTCCCGGAGTAATGGACAAACGAAAATTAGAACCAAACGCTTGTAGGGGCATTGCCTTGCCATGCAGTTCCTTGAAACTTCTCTCGAAACTGATTGCAAGAAAAATTACCGAGAAGACTGAAAGTGCTCTTCTAAAAGCCCAATTTAGATTTCGAAAACATAGATCCACTCAAGCCAATGAGTTATAAATAATGTCTACGAGCAAACCCATGAGTTTTAAGTAAGTTTGTTAGAAAAGGACGTATGAGCAGCGACAGAGAAAAGAGTGGCAAACTATATAGTGGCATACTACGTCTTTGTGAATTTTAGAAAGCCATTCGACTTCATAAGAAGCGAATAGATTATAAAAAAATAGAAGAAACCTTGGAGAAAACCTCTGTACGGGGAAGACTAATTCGAAAAATTTTAGGGCACTACTATAAGTCACATGGTCTGGATATCTCTTATTTCCTCCTTTTAGTCTGTCTTAATTAATTATGATTTTGTGAAAAGAAAGGGTCCATATTTTTTGACAGACGAATTAGTGTAATATAAATTAATTTTATATAATCGTGTAACCCTTTCGAGGACTTTTGAAATTATACAGCACGGAATTTAAAATTATTTATGATACAATATTAAAATGGAGAAATTACGACGGAAAGAACTTACCAGACACATGAGAGCTCACAAAACAGAAGTATTTTCATTGACACAGTTCTACAGCGAACTGTCTCTAGTCAGACAAAATCAATTTAATAATAATAATAATAATAATAATAATAATTATTATTATTATTATTATTATTATTATTATTATTATTATTATTATTATTCACAGCGAGGATAGAGTTGCTCGCGTCCGTGGTCTACCACACGTGTCCCCAGGGTAACTCTCAATTAGCAACAGTAATTCGCCATCTACGTACTCGACCATTGTGAGCGTGCGGATCACTACAAGCCGAGGGGAAAGCCTGCGCGTCTATACTGATCGGCGCGTCACCAAATGGCTAAAATGCCAAGGGTGGGCGTTGGATTAAAAAGAAAATCAATTTCAAACGTTGGTGAGAGCGGTTGAAATAATGAATTCTGAGAGTGAGGGCAAGTTAAGACAAGGAAAGAAGGGAATAGACGTAAAGCTCTAACTGGAATGAAAGAATATGTCAGAAACATCAGAGAGATTCTTCAACATTAGAGAGATTCTTCAATACAAAACTGTATCCAATCATTGGATAAAGTTCAACCGTTCTTTCAATTATCATTATTCGAGAATTTTTGATATTGAGAGTCGGAGATATTCATGATTAGTTTCTGAAACTTTACAGATCAAAATAAATAATTCTATGAAGACTGCTATTGAGAATAATCATTTTACAATAAATAAATAAATAAATAAATAAATAAATAAATAAATAAATAAATAAATAAATAAATAAATAAATAAAAATAAAGAGCCTTGCTTTATAGATGTGGAACAAATTGTTCTCCCATCTTACTGGTGATTTCAAAACCTTCTCCCACCCCCATTTATTGGTCCCAAATACATTTTTAGTATCTCAATTTCAAAAAAATTCCTGCCTGGATCACGTTGTTTGAAATTGTGTTTCTTTGAATCCGTTATAATTTCGTTCATTAGTTCATACTATTGTGGATGTTACATTACTTTATTTTTTTGCATTTATGTTCTTTTAATATATGTTTTCATTGATAGTTACTTTATTTCAATTATATTATTTCATGAATAATATTTTAATAGTAGTTATGTGGTTAATTATTATTGATATTAAAATATAATTAATTAACACCTCGTATTTTATTAAATAGTGATTGCTCGATTCCAGTATAAATATTATATATCCTTCGATGAACGATGTTCTCATTTGATTCGATTCCTTAGGGAATCGATTACTTTATTTCCATACGATTCTAGAAACGACTCCAACTTTTCGATTCTGGGATCGATTCTTATACCGAAATCGACCGTCCTTACACTTTTCACGTTTTTCTCGGTGGAGCCGCGAATGTCGCATCCGTCGCATCATGCATGCAGGGCATATGCAGGTCGTGCGCATGATCGCTAGTCGCGACATCGCGACTGTATCAAGCAGTACAATGTGCCTGTCTATGTAAGATTGGTAGAAGATCAATTTGAATTGTATCATATTATTGACGATTCGAATCCCTTGATTCATGGGAACAAGTGGTCAGTTTTATTCGTTATTATGGGTACATAAGTGCCCAAAATAATGTGTTGGTTTTATAATTGCTTATCATGTTGCGATAATCCTGCTCCCTATAACCTTCATCTGGTGCGACCGTCAGTCCCGACTCCAGCATCAGTCATTCCCTTGCGCACTACTCCAATGAGTGAAGTGTACTCTAAACACTAGAATTGCGATGAAGAATCAAATCACCTTGAATAAAAGGGTTGATTGATTTTAACGATTCTCTCAATATGAGTAACGATCCAAACGAATCCGAAATGCCGTACGACAGTTGTGAAGATATCGGGACTCCATTGAATGTTCAGCTTTGTGCTAAGTATAAAAGGTACTTTTCTTAAATATGTCAAGAGTAGAAAATTCTTGTACATGAACGCTATATAAAAATGAATTGTATTTTTCATTCTGAACATCTTCATTTTTGGATTTTTTCTAGCTCTATGATAGTATTTCAGTCTGTTGTATTTACAGTCATAATTGTATTATTTATTTCCTATTATTGTTTTTTTATTTAATATTTTTAATGTTATTAGAAGCTTTGCATATGTTACCATGAAGGACAGATTACCTATTATTCTGACACAAGTAATTGATCATATGTCAAGGGAGAAAGAAAACATTGTAAATGAGTATGGAAAGGTGAGAATTATGTGTACAAAAATAATTTGAAGTATAATTTTTCTGTTAATTTGTCAATACATTTTAAATATGGTTTATGAAGGAAGCACTAGAAGAATTGAAAATTGCTATTGGAAAAATATCAAAGTTGAAGAATGAACTTCAGACAAATAAACCTCTGATACTGCTGGAGGGAAATGCTTCAGATGTTACAATTTGGAATGCTTTCCTAAAACAACTAAAGGATGAAGAAGGAAATGATCCTCGTTGGTTTCATAGTGCATGGCTAGCTACTGAATGTTACATGTATCGCCGATTGCGAGAAGCATTTGAATTGACGTAAATACAGTTTTTAATTTTCAATATTCTATTGTAGTATAAATTTGTTATTAATTAGTATTTTCCTGACTCCAGGGACACTTTAACATCCTTTGATCCATTTCGAAGTAAGAAGCAAGCAGCACTTCTGGACTCTTTAGGCACCATTAACGTACTTTGCACGTATGTCAAAAGATTGGTGGAACAGCAAAATTGTCACTGTTCGACAGATATTAAAAATGAATTTATGAAATTACTTTATGTAAGTTTTAATCATAACAAATGCTTATGTTAAATACATGTTTAGCAATTTTCTTGCTTTCCCTCTTAACACAAATATTAATGAAAGAAAATTGGTAGGTGGATTTGTGGGGGAATCGGTGCGATCTATCTCTTTCTGGAGGAGAAAAGGTGTTAATGGAAGAAGATCCTCTCCAGAAAATTGGACAACTATCCGAATATATATTAATAGATGAGGCTGAAAAAGTATGGAATACATTGGCAGTGAATAGGGAGAAATCAGATGTTATTGTTGGTAAGTTGTGCATTGCATGTAGTGTGTAGCTCACTAAGTCAAAAAAATAATCTGAGATAAATCAAATTAAAGATTCTTTACATGTAGTCAACTCAATATTTTTCCTTAAGTGATAAAACCTGAACAATTTTTAAAATAATATGTAATATTATTTTAAAGAGAGAGAAAAAAAACAAAAAACAAACATCAACAACACCAGTATCCAAAGCTAGATTTCTCCTGTTCACATGAATTGGCAGACTTGACATTTTGCGTTGTGACTTTACAATATGTTAGAGGAAGTCATTCACAAGGAAGATGATTTATCCTCTTTTTTGTTACCAGAGCAATAAGCATTTTGCTGTGGAAAATTAAGTTTTCTGGTGCATAAATACAGTGCTTGCTCTTCGTACACAGTAAGATGAGAAAGTAAAATGTGTTTTAACGATGTTAGTAACTGAAAACCTTCAAAATGGATTTACTAAGTTTCACTTATATATCAATATGTTCAGATTAATTTATATTCAGATTAGAAACCAATTTTGAAAGTCATTTTTTCCCCTTTCTTTGCTTTTATTCAGAAGTATAGTTCTGCTAATGAACTTTTAGATTAAATAACCATACCCTAATCTGAGATTAATGGTTCAAATTCATTGGAAATGCCACAAAAAGAAATAATGTGTGGGATAAAAAGGTAATTGTTTTGATGTAGAGATGAGGATTTGACTGAGATAAAAATAATAAAATAAAAAGTTCTCATCTTGGCCTTTATTTAGAATAAGTGGAATAATTTATCTTAATGGTAGCATTCCGATAAACAAGAGTCTAAAACAAGGATGTGGATTATCTTCTACCTTGTTCAATATGTACCTTGAACAAGCCCTACATAACTGGTACAGGAAATGTTCAGGCATGGGAATAAAATTGGAGACAACACCTTCACTCCCTTCTATTTGCTGATGGCCTGGTAATCTTTGCTCAAGATGAAGAAGATATGGTGTATGTGGTGAGAAACCTAATCGAAGAATATAATAAATGGGATTAGAAGTAACTTTTAATAAAACTGTATATGTGTGCATTGGACAAGTATTAACGGATATAGACGTGTATGGTAACAAAATTAAAAGCTGTATCACCTTCAAATATCTTGGATCTTTAATACACAACTCGAGTACATGTGCCACAGATATAAAATCAAGAGTATTTGTGGGGAAGAAGCAACCAAAGCTTTACACAGCATATTATGGAATAACAGTATCCGTCAAGATGTCAGAAGAATTTCACTGTGTAATAGAAAATATAATGATATAGGAGTGGAAAGTGGCCACACACGCAAAATATGCGAGATAAGATTAGGACAGTAGAAATGGACTACATGGGACGATGCCTACAACTTACTCCCAGGGACAGAGTGCAAAATAAAGAAATATGGAGAAGGATGAATATAAGTCGTTCTATTACAAAGACCTTGGAAAATAGAGATCTACAATGGTTTGGACATGTTCAGAGAATGTCTGAAAACAGATGGCCACACAAGATCTTAAAGTAGCAACCACGTGAGATGAGAAGACGAGCAAGACCCGTTTTAGAGTGGGAAAAATACACCCAGAAAACTATGGAGGATAGAGGCCTCAAACCAGGAAATTGGGAAAACCGAGAGTTGTGAAGGGTGAAAACGGCAAGCTTCTAAGGGGGAAATTCTGAAGCAGAATAATTTAGGATGGTTACATAATTGAATAAAGATTGGGAAAGATTAATTTTCCTTGAAGTCTAGCACAATTTTTTGACATGGGTATTTTTAATTTGGAAACAGTTGATACGTTTGATAATGAAGTCTTGTAAATTTTGGTAAAAACTATTGAACACTTCAAAAAATTACAGTAAGTATAATTTGAAAAATAATTAATTGTGGGAGCAATCATTGTGTTCAGTTCCATCTCCCATGAGATTTTGCAATGGAATTACAAATTATGTTGGAATTTATTGTAAATTCAATATAGTTTTCTGATTTAGTCTTCCTGACTCTTTTCAGAACTATTAGAAAAAATATCCCATTTGAATGTAATTGCTGTTGTGTATGGTTCAAAGACAGTTGTGAAGAGAGTGACATGCAATTCCACTTTCAAAGAGTTGACAGCAGTGATGAGGGCAATAGGTATTACAGTGAAGTACATTATAGTGTATAGTGAAAACTTTTATTGCATTGATTTTATATCAGGTGTTTTCTGTTTTTGTAAATAATTTTTCTTTTTTTCAATCCCAACTCTTCATTACTACCTCTGTGAAATAATTTTTTTCTCCGAAATTGTTGGTTCATTTTTATACTATTTGTTGTGTTCATGATTGATGTCAATTTCTTCTCTTCAGATTTTATTGCCAGTTATATAGTGGATTACTCTCTTGTTAATCCATTTATTCATTGTATTTGTTTGGCCTCCAAGATCTGTCGTACACAGTACACTATCGTAAGATAAAGAATTGTTGGCATTTTAAGTTTATTTCTTAACAAGTAATAACCTTTATTTTACATTGCACAACTGTTGTCAAACTCTCACAAGTCACTTCTTTTTTTCCTCTCTATGAAGTACTTTCCGATTTTTAGTCCCCTGCATTTGGATATCATCTTTCTGGGTCTTTCAGGAAATGCATAGATGTTTGAAAATAATCTCAGTGAAACTTGTTTCAAGCACCAATGGCAATAATTAACCTTTCATAGAGGTGACCTCTTAATTAAAAGTTACTAGGTTTCTTGTAGCTTAAATCAAATTTAATTGCACAACATTCTGTGAAATGAAGTACTGTAGTAAGTCGCCTGCTCTGAAAATCCTGTACTTCTTGATCGTAATTTTAGAGGTTTTTTGAAGCAGTTCGATGCTATGTAACTTTGTATGTGTATATTATTTCATATTTCTTTATTGATTTCTTACAGTGGAGCTTTTGTTATAAGTTTACAAATTAATCTCTTAGAAATTATTTATATCCTATTTGAAATAAATATGAAATAAAGATTGCTAGCCTTCAGTTACCTGCTCCCAATTTATACAGTTAGACGTTCCGCAAGCTATAATTTGAATATTATTTCATATTATTCCTTTTTTTTTTTTTTTTGCTGAGGAGGGGCGAAGATTGCGTTGCGCTTACTGGTTAAGTTCCGGGTATGTCGGACTCCAGCGTGGCATACCGACTAAACCTACTTCACGCAGAAGATTGGCTGAGAGCATGGGCTTTCCTCTTCAGATGGTCGCTATGGTATTTTAGCTTTCTCTGCTAGTGGCTTTCTGTTTTAGTACGTGAGCCACGAAGTCTCGCACTGCTTTCCAGTTGTCTTTGGATTGCAGCATAGTCTGGGCTGTGTTTACAGGCGTTAATTCCCGTCGCAATTTGCTGTAGCAGTTTCTTCTTTTTTCTTCCCAAGCTTTGCAACTATATATGGTGTGCATAGCGTCGTCGTCTTCATGGCGTAGTGCGCATATCGGGCTTTTAGTGATTTTAAATCTGTATAGATGTGCTTCAAAGTTCCCATGCCCTGAGAAGGCTTGCGTCAAGCAGAAGTCCATTGCGCGATGGTTCCTGCTGGTCCAATCCTTGATGTTAGGGACGAGGCTGTGTGTCCATCTACCTTTGTACTCCAGGTCCCATCGGTGTCGCCACTGGTACAGGAGATGGTTTTTTAATTCCGCTTTGATATTGTCTAATTTTCTTTTGGACAGGGTTTGTTGTTTATCTGCTGTCGTCCCCAAGTACATTGTCCTTTCCTGGGCTGAAAGGTCCACTGGCCAGTACTAAGGCTGCACTGTCGAATATCTTGCGATATCCTTAGTGCCATCCTTCTCTGGATCTGTGTGAATTTCCGTCAAATGGACTCTATCTGGCGCATCCGCTAACACTGGGGCGGCATACAGCATTTTTGAGTGCACTAAGGTAGAAATTAACATTCTTTTGCTTTCACTTGGACCTCCTGATTTTATTATTATTATTATTTAAGGAGGAGGAAATCCTTTATGGATACCAGTGAAGCTGGTGATGTTGGACTCCCAACTAGGTTACCGACTACAAAACTCAACCTCCATCTCTTAAACCGTATTCTCTCCCACGTGGAAACCGTCGTTAACAATACTTCACGCAGGAGATTGGCTGCTAGTAGATGCTCTACTTCCTCTGTCTTAATTCTTTCTTCATAAAACTAACTATGAAGTACTCTATGGTTTTCCATTTCTCCTGCGAGCTCAGCATCATGTCGACCATGTTGTCTGGATTTATGACGTGTTGGAGGTTAGCATTACAAACTTCTCGTTCCCTTTCCCATGCCTTACACTGGAATAGTGTGTGTTCCGCATCAGCTATGTCTGCATGACAGAGACTACATGTGGGCCTCTCTACATCGTAATCGTAGAGGTATTTATGAAATGCCCCATGTCCCGTAAGAGTGGGACAGGTAATCCAACTCCTCAAAACTTCGGTTTACCCATCTCTCGATGTTTGTAATCAACCGATGAGTCCATCTGCCTTTCACATCCCCATCCCATCTTCCTTGCCATTCTTCAAGGAGCAAATCTTCCCTGCTTCTGCTTTAACACTCAAATTTGCTTTGGAGCGGAGAATGCTTGTTCTGCTTATGCTTCCTTCCAAGGGCATGTACGTCCTCTTTTTCTTCCCATGGCTATTAAGTCGATAGTGCGTGTACTAGTTCAAATACCAGACACTGCCGCAAAGTTAGATATGTGCGGTAGCACACGCCCACGCCACCCTCAAGGCCATTCGTCTTTGTTCTTGGGCGCGTCTGATAGCATCCAGCGAACCCGCCCAGTACTGAAAGCAGCATACAACGACTGTGACTGAACGGATGTCAGGATTTTCATTTTCTCTTTTGCGTCTCTCAGGGCCACCCGACGTCGTAGCATATCTTTGCGAGTTAGCTCCTGTCCTCGCCGCGCTTCTCTCCATCACATTTATGTGGGGCCCGAAGCGTAGTCTATGGTCTATTTCGATTCCTAAATATCTTATATGGCGCTTCCAGTTGA